ACTGTCTGGCAATCTATAAAGCGTCGATTGTGTCTCTCTGTTTAGTTTCCTCGTGATGTTTCGCCAAGTTATAAAATAACCTGATGCTAGAGGATTTTTAAAGGAACTCTCTCAACGAATGCGTGCAGCCGAACCGAATTGAACATAACATAACGATAAAATAAAAATCTATCGGCAAATCTGACCCTCGGGTTCGAATTAATTAGAGATCGTAGGACCGAATTCCCCTGGCGAAAATCAGTTCTATAGCTAAAGCAATTGCTTGAAACTAGACCTGGCCTATTGTAGCCAAAGATTTCCACACCCCATTTCTGCTCAAGCACACTGGTGCAAGAAGTATTTTTTCTTTTGTAGACGTTTTTTTGTAAGTATTTATCGTAATTTTGTCTTTGCTTTTCAGCTTTTAACGACACAAATATAAAGCAAAGACAAAATGCGAAATAAAAAAAAGAAGAAAACCTATTGAACCAGGGTATTCTCAAAGCATCCTCGTCCAGTTTATTATTGTGTGAATTTTCCTGAAGTCATATTTTTCTTCAACAACATTGTTATCTCAGAAGGTTCGGAAGTACAGAAATCAGTAAACAAAAATGAATTATTCACATCCGCGGTAAATAAACTACAATATCAATATTCAAAGTATTGCCAAAGCTCRCGTTGATTCATCACTGCTAGTACATGTAGTATGACAATCTATAAAGTATCAAAATGTCGATTGTCTGCCTGAGACTCGTGTTTAGTTTTCTATGTTTCGCCAATAATATACATGGATCTGATTGGCTGTCTTACACAGCACAGTCCTCAATCTTAACGTCTCTAGTCTTTCCATCTAACTTTGATCACTCATACTAAACAGAAGTCAATCTTTCCTCCAACATATTCGATGTCTCAGAAGGAGTCCAAATTTTGACTGAACCAAGTGAGAGTTTATCATAAAAATTAGAGACTAGCTTATGACGAACTGTAAGTTACGAAATCTAATTTTTCCCYCATTTTTTCGCTACGCGCTTGGCTAACTATAAGACGTGTAACGTATTATTGAAACCAGCAGTAAGAGACCAAGGCATGATGGAGAATTCTATTAGCGAGAGAAAAAACAAAACAAAATAAACTCGCTCCTGAGTTAATAAGATAAGGTAATATTAATATATATTAAATATCATTATCTTTCTGTACTCTAAGAATAGATACACAAATGACATCAAAATGCAATAACAACAAAAAAAGTTTGCCACGAGATTTTATCCAGATTTTTATTCCCTCTGGACCAGCAGTTTGGTCAAAGTAATCCTAATTTAATTTGATTTAATTAAATTTTTTGACGTCTTAATTGCATTGAAACACGAAGATTTCCCTGATACCGTCTCAGCTCCTGTTAATTTACGGTAGCCAGTGCATTTTGCCTCCCCTTGGCCCTCCCGCCTTCCTTGTTTTAGTATTATCCTACTGACTTGTAGACATTTCTTTTCTCGATATTGTCTCAGAAGGTAGAGTTTTTTAAAACTATTAAACTATTTAAGTATTAGTTTTTACTATTAAAATATCCTCCTACTAACCTGTGTTCTCATAAATCTCATAAGGTTCTTCTAAAAAACAAGGAAAGAAACATAATGTCATACAGTCATTTGCA